AACACATCAAACAGCTACACCTACCAACACCTGAGTTCGTTACGATTCGTGAGATTCGAACTCTGGAGATACCTCAAAACATTCCTCAACGTTGCTTTTTTTCAGTAACGTCGCTCTACATCATAAAAGCAGCTGTTTACCAGCAATTATTGCGATCAACATTGTGCAGTAGCAATGGGCTTGAGGCTTGCCACCCGCCGCTCTACATTGTTCACTTGTCGGCGGTTTTTCACCCGTCGGCCCGGCGCGTTCTGCTGATTTACAAATGTACATAGAGTCAATAAACAAAATTTTTGCATAAGGCCCTAGCCTCACATACGCATCACCTCTCCGCCATCATAGTTAGATGGCAGGTCTTCCGATTGGTCGTTCTGAACACAGGACTGCAGTTCTTCCCACTTTCCAAGATATGTTTTACTCTTCCTAAGTTCGTTCCGCCGAAATAACCACTTTAAAAAACACCACCCCTGCCGAACCCGTCCAAACGGCCTTTGACGCAGCCAACGGACCGTTGCACATTCGTGCATAAACAAACGCAAATGTTTCCAATCAACAGAGCTCAATACACGGTGACAAATCGTGTCGAGAAATATCGCCTCTTTACGACCCCTCCAAAACATGGACTCTGATACGACCCCTTTTTGTCCTCTGCACATCCGGTTTCATATCAAAAAATGCTAGTTTCAGATGTGCGAGACGGGACGCAGCGCCGCTGCCACGCAAATGCGGCTTGATCCAAATGCTAGATTCTGGCTCCATATCTAGATTCTCCCTGTTATAGAGACAATTACCCTTGTCAGAAAATCGAGCCGGATAGGTAAGACAGCATTGAAGGAGGCACTGCCCCTACACAGTTGAACAGTCTCGCGCTCCAGTATAGCGGCGCTAACCTATCCGCGATCGCGTCGCGCTCTGTGCCTAGAGCGCGCTAGTTGGAAAAATCGTCACATGTACCCGCCCCCCCTATTTGAAAGGACTATAACTTTCTTCATTGTTAACCATTCGGAAAGAAAAGCACGCTTTCAATAAGCACATACCGACTTCCTGAGTCTCTCAAACATATGATGCTGAAAGCGCTTATCCAGCCAGCAGCTTATGCTCGAGCAGCGTGGAGCACGTCGAGAAGCTTGTCGCGAAAATTGAAATTTACAATGCGACGTCTTTGACAATCTACAAGGTCGGGCGATGGCCCATACGTTGAAAACAAGCTCTAGCGCTCTTCATTGGCAATGATCTTTGAAATCGGAAGAAACCGTAGCGTTGGCTAAATAGAACATTCACAAGCTTTTGGATAAGGTGCATCTAAGTTGTTCCTAACGGCTAACGCCAGAGAACAATGTCAAGAAATTTTCGAGCCACCGAAAACTCTATTCCTACCCTTCGACAGTAGAGTAGGGAACTTCTTTAGAACCTTCCATCATAGTGCTTCTGTACACGTCAGTTCGATGGAGTAAATTGAAAATGATGCACTTGGCGCAGATCCATTCCGTTCTTGTATGCGCCATGCAGTGACCCCTCGGAGTCATTGGGAAGGTGTTTTGTCCTAGTGACGACTTGCTTAAGCACACCAAAAGATATTTCCAGTATTAACTAATTAGAATAACGCTTGCGGTTGCAGGATCTGATGATGCCAAGAAGGCTGCGAATCTGCCTGTTGAAACTTTCTAACAAGATGCTGTTCCTTCACCAGTTTCACGTTTTCAAGCATGTACATCATTCTAGAGTAGATACTCACTGCCCTTTCCCTACGATTCTTTTGCAGGACGCGTTGCCTTCCTATGCCATACTGATCACTACGAACCAAACCAACAACCACTTTCCATTTAAATTTTAATTCCAGACAGTTGTAAGATATTATTTGCTAAGTAGGCTAACTACAACACTTGTGAAACACCCTCTAATGATGACAGCAAATAAGTGAGCAGCAGCACTGTTGTGTCCGTTGATGAACCTTTGATTACGACCCCCTCCCAACTCTCATCGGAGCAAATACGACCCCCTGTCGAGGATGTTCCTCGACCGTTATTCACCCTGCTCCTAATATTGTGGAAGTGTTGACATGAACGCGTTGACACTTAGAGGGGTGCCGCAGGATCAAACTGTTGTGGTTCTTGCACAGGAAAGTGAAATATTGGTGCGAAATATCAGACGGTAGTGAAGAAAAACAATAAGCTTCTGTGGAAATCTTATAGCTAGCTCGCTCACATTAAATCATAGCGGCTTGCTGCAGCTATGAGAGACGGAGCGCGACGAGGAGCGCATGGGCGATAGAGTCCCAAAATGAATGAACGTCCTAATGACAGCCTGACTGCGTAAGAGAATCAATTGAAGCGTCCACTACAAACTTGCGAATGCCCTGCCCTCTCGCGAGGAATCGCACTGTAGTGGGCCAGAATCTGTCAATGTCCTTAAGGGCTATCAAACACTCCAGCTACAATCGATGACACACTTCGCATGGGTTCTGCGCGTTGAGAGTGCAGTTTTATTTGTTATTGTTAAGGCAAACCGATTAAAAGAAAACTACGAACGAGCCACACAACATCCTTCATATTTGTTGTGTTCTTAGCAGTTATTTCATTTACTAGTCCGTCGAATAGGTGGCCTTCTCAAGCGATATGAGTTTTCGCGAAGATTTTGGCCACCGTCATCCCCTAAACACATCATGATTGGTCTGTCGACAACAAACCTTCCTCCTTCTACCACATCTCCTCCTTACTGTAAGTGCAACTCACTGAATCGAGGAGACCCATCGACACGCCCAGACAATCATTGACTTAATCCGTTCGTTTTCATAGGAGGTCAATGACGACGTGTCGGGCCACAACCGCTCACCAAATCACGCGCTATCCGCCTCGCCTATACGAAGTTATTACGCTAGCCAAAGCCAACTTTTGCAGTATAGATTCCTATCTTTGTACTTTCTTTCTTTCTCTCATTGAGGGGTTGCGTTTTCTCGCCAAACTACTGCTTTCGTAAGCGGATATGGCTGCTCCATGTCCATTTCTCCTTTTGATATTTATATTGTCCTTTTCTTCCTTTTTCAATATTGTGACAAAGCAATAAGTCCGAGGGACTTCCTTAAAGATGTGCTTTTTCTTATACTATTTCCTTTTCCGCTTCTGTTAGTGATTATTCTTGCAGTCGCAAACTGAGTATGAAAGACTTGAAGTCCGTTACGGGGGTCCCATCATTCATTCATGAGGAGGCTCGAATGATAAATCGCCCTCTTATGCCTTCCTGTCATTTTGATTTGAAGCACAACTGAAAAGGCGTGATTCAGCATCAACTTGGAGAAGGAATCCGGTAAACAAAACAATTTTCTAAACGAAATTTCTCTTACAGTAGCGCTTTAATGAACCAAACAACCTGTATAACGAATGATTGGCGCACGCAAATTTTGAGCTAAAATTTTTTGTATGAAGTGTTAGGCTATACACAATTGACGTTGCAAAATCTTTAGGACACCCCCCACAAATCATGAATTCTGGCTCTAAGAAACAGCCTAGAGTCTACGGCAAAACTGGCAGAATCAGAACCGCCTCTATAAAAACCTATACAGACAAGTTTGTTTCTTGAGAATTCGTGAGAATTTGGAGCACCAAGCTATGGTTTTCTTTGAGCTCCTAAAAATGGCTTCGATGCTCATGGTAGAGCCATCAGGCGCGTATAAAAAGAAAGTCTGGCTTTCACTCGCGGAGGGAAAGGGAGCAACTCAAACCGTAACTCTAATAGAATTACCATACACACCGGACAAGTGCTACCATCGTTGCTGGATAAAAAAAATTCAACTGTAAGGAGACTTCCGAGGGGTGTCCTATGATTTTTTGCAACGACTACAAAACTAAAAAAAATCTGACGAAAAACTATTCGGATGATCTGGCTACTTGTTTGTATAGGTTTTTTATAGAGGCGGTTCTGATTCTACCAGTTGCGATAGACGGCTTTTTCTAGAAGCCGAGATATTCATATTTTTGGGGGGTGTCCTATGATTTTGCAACGCACTGTATAATGGAAGTAGCCTACTTGCTCATTCAAGATGACCGAAATTTCCTGACGGCCATCTTGAAACTTGTCAATTATTTGCAAAGCAATTTTTATTTTGTTTTCCAGGGGCTTTTTCTGCGCTGACACAAATATTGTAGTTATCTAGTGACTATCGGCGGCCATTTTGTTTCCAGTGATACTTCCTTCAGAGAGACATATGCAAGCAAGTTAGCGATGAGGGCATCTTATGCTACTTAAAAGCAAAGTCCGAGACCTCTGGACAAACTCACTGTGGGGGCTGGGGGTGTATGTTCTGCACTTGCATCAAAAAAAGGCGGAAAGGCGGGTAACGAAGTTGTTGTCAAAGTCTCTTTAGCCCCGTTTTAGCTCCGTCGTCCGCATTAACCTACACAATTCTTACTTTTATAGCGGTGTGCGCCACGTGGTGGCGCACGCGAGAAAAATTCTATCGTCTATCAGCCTTCAGATTTCCAAAATCCAGAAATTTTTCAAGAACTTCCTATATCAAGTCTTATGTGAATATGAAATTGGAGAGAGTCTTTGCTCGGACTTCACACACTTTTTTGCTCGTATAACTGCACAACAAAATTAGACTCATGTATTCAGTTCATCTTTTGCCTGTTTGCGGCTCGAGTGCTGGCCGGTGTTGTGTTCGAATTCGACTACGCTGAACCAAATTGGGCCTTCAGGATTGCTGTGCTTGCATTAGCCGGTAAGTTCACCCTTTTTCTCTGTTCTCGCTGCTTCTGATGTAACCCCTTTTTTCAGAAATATTTCTTTTTTGTTCGCTATTCTGCGAGTTCCACACTCTCAAAAATCACACCTAAATGGACCATCGTGTAGGTTCTTCATCAGCATTCTTATTTGATTTACAACTGGAGTACCCCTTACTTCTTCTGTTTAAGATTGTTCTTGCGGGTGAGATGGTCTTGCTGATCGTCGGCCTTACTGGTATCGGTATGCTACATGGTTGGACTGAAGGTATCGGTTATCACATGAGGGAATACTACACACCATTGTGAGTATTATAGTGTTTTTCGTAAAAGTGTATTACTTCGACTAATATGAGAATGGCTGTGAGAAGACTTTAAGGCACGGGTCGGGATAGAATTGATGTTATTTTGTGAGGAAACGACGGAGGCGACCGATGACGTCATTTTCTGAAGACAGTGAGAGCAGTGACGTAGGGCTGCTTCTTCCTATGGAAGGACATCTAAGGAATATTTTGCCATTGAAATTCCAACAACGGTGGCGCTTTGTGCGGTCGTATAACTGGCGATCGACATTGTGAAAAGGACGTTCTTGCCCTCCCCTTCCTGCAGGATTTGGTTAGTTTGTCCTTGGAATGAAGAAAGCCTATCTCTGGCAGTTTTTGCATCACTCCAGAAAGGCCCTGTCGACTACTGATACTGAGTACCCAAGTGGGAAGGCAGTTTGCAAACATTCGAGTCGCCAAGTCAAGACAAATCATTCCAGCTGCCCTTTCTGATGGCATGGATTAAAACCCACCCCAAGTTTCAGCTTCGGTGAAGCAAAGGGCCGTGAAATTTTCTGAGCCATCTCATGTGCGGCTTGTCCTATTGAACTTCGCTTCGGGCTTATTCATGAAATCTCACAAGCAGAGCTTTACATGTAGAAATGTTTCTATGAAGCCGATTTCTGGCAAAATTTGTGCTTCCAACGATAGCAAGCTGGTTTCTGTTCATACCCGGGAGGTGTTAAAGCCCAACCTCAGAAAGGTTTCTTCAAAGCAGCAGCGAAAAACAGTGAAGGTAATGTGTTATCGAACACTTGCCTCGGCAATTAGCTGTGTAAGCAAATTAAGCGTCTTTTCGACGCTTCTGCGTCATTTCGGCGTTGATTTCCTGAATACGTCAATGAAGATTTACTCTCGTCGCATTTGAAACGATTCATGCTTCTGTCTGCAAAAACACGTCCCAGAAAACATGTGTTCCGCCGTGAAAGTGATGCCAAAGTCCTACTCACATCATCCATGAATTCAGAAGAAGAAACAGATAAAGGAGCTGGACGTTGGGCCACCTTTATGCCTAGCATTTGTGAGGTCTCAGCGTAAGTAACTGAGGATTTGACCCAAATCCCGAAAAACTTATCTTTATTCGAAACAAATGTCCTCACATTTACTCATCCGTCCTACATCGGCCGATATAGGACGGACGTGTCCATGTTGGGAAAGAGTGCGAAAATTTTCGTGAACGATCTCTTTAACCGAGCCTTTCATACAGATTCATTTGATTGCTATGAGACTATTTTGAGAGGATGAAAACTTGTACATCGGCTAGCCTGAACCACTCACAGTGTAGATCAGATCTCATTGAAAATGCTTTTCCGATTATGACTGGAAGAAGAATACGTGGCGCATCTCCAAAAGAAATACTTTAATGTCGACTGCTTTGCGCCAGTAAAAATGTGGAACAGTTTGACTGCTCACCAAGGCTTTTCTCTTCAAAAACATTAGTATTGCTTAGTCAACAAACCACAAGGAAGGATAGATTGGTAGCCATGTTAATTCGAAACTGGTCTCGTTTGACAGAATAGTAAAGGGCTGTAATTGCTTTTGAGGTGATGGGGTAGCCTGTCGGGTGGCCTGCAACTACGTATTCAACCCCAATACTTGCCTGAAGCATCTCGTTGTGGTTATGCAGCACTAATAGGCCACTTTATGATTTGACAGCCATAAAATCGAAACAGAAAATACATACGAGAAATGAAAATCGAGGATCGATTCTATTTTTATTATGTTTAAGTAGTACCTAGCCTTAACATCAAAATAACGACACTGATTTCTTTCCAGGTGGTTGTGTGCAGTTCTTATGTGTCTACTGCTGGCGCTGGTCATTTCGCTTTTCCTAGTGTTTATCTGCCTTCATTGCAATCATCCGGGTATTATCAAGCAGCACATTATGTTGCTGGTGAGTCAGTGTAGAGTTTTGTTACCTTCTCTCGCCATGCTATCGAATTTCATAATAAATCAAGTATGCCTCATCCAAACGCATTGCATTTGTGTGCTTTTGCTGCTCAATCGTTCTCATACTGTAAATTGCATTTTGCAAAGAAGTCTGAGTTACCCATTGTATTGAAAACTCTGCTTCACCGGGGCTGTCAAAATAAGCCTCGCATTGGATCTCACCTCAGTTCTAAGACTTCCCACCCATTTTTATCTCTCTTCGTTTTCCCTAGCGTTTGGATTAATGATTGAAGAGCTGCTTTTTTAATAGGTAAGACATGAACGGGCGGAAGTGGTGTAGTGGCAAGTGGCACGCTTACCACGCGAGCGGTCCGGGGATCAAATCCTGGGTCGTGAGTCGCCCGGGCCAACCAAGCCTTCCATCCCTCCGGGGTCGGTTAATTGGTACCAGACTTGTCTGGGAGGATAAAAACACTGACTTGTACATCGGCTGGCCATATAGGCCACATCGCATTCAAACGCCACTACGAATGTACAAATGGAAGTAGAATGCGTGCCGCATCCCAAAAAGGGATTGATCAACGGCAAATGCTTTATCCTTTTTATCCTTTTAAGACATGAACGGACTTCAAAATAACTTGAAAGCTCTTTCATGAGAAATTAAACGTTTCCAAGCCCACTGGATGTACCAGTTTCGCACATCTTGTTTTTCCTCCCACCTCATAGAGTGAGAGAGAGAGACTGC